CTCCTCCTCCTCCTCCTCCTCCTCCTCCTCTCCTCTCCTCTCGCGTGGCGTTCAGGTGTAATTTATGTCGCTGGTTCGCGCGCGGCCGCATATTGAGAGATTATCTTCGGCCGCTCGCACGGGATACCCGTCGCCGCTTCGCCGTCAATTACAGCCGTGTTAGTCGGACTTAAACACCGTCGCTGATTTAATCGGCCGATTAATCTCGCACCGCGACTCCCATCGCAATCGTCATGCGCACGCCGCGGCGAGTTTCCGCGGCGCGATCGTTAAAGTCCAATATAAAAGCACGCGCGTTCCCTCCCCCGCCGCGGCCCCGCGTAAGTATAATTCGGTCGTATAACGTAACGATTGTTTTTATCGCTTTGGGAAGCGATCCGGGACAATCTGTGCGCGCTTGTTCCTCGTGAGGACGACGCACATCCACGCCGCCCCGTTATTCAACGACGCGTAAAAATCCCGCTGACGGATCGCGCAGCTGATCGCTCGAATCGACGCGAATTCATCTTCCGCACGCCTTTTCACTCTGCGCCCGTGCTGAAGACACCAAGAGCAAAGTTCCCTCGCGAGAGAGTAATCGGCACACTCGCGTGTGCGCCTCGCGCGCGGTGATAAATCCCTTTTTCTCCCCTTCGCAGTCAAGAGGAAGCCCGTCCCGAGAGTTTCGTTCCACGACTGTTCGCGCTATCGATCTGGCGCCGCGAAACGTCAAGTCATGACGTGCGCGCTTCCTCCTGGATCCTCTGTATGTACCTAAGGGCGTCCATACCGTGCAGGACGAATTCCGTGCCATTCGCCGGAGGCTGCGGCTCAAAGTCCTTCGGGAAGTTCGTGACGATGTTCTGGTCGTCTCGTTCCAGAACAATCGTGAGCGTCAGATTCCGGATGTCCTCCTTGTCAACCACTACTTCGCCCTTCTTGATCTCACTCGCACTGACTTCTTGCTCATCGTCCCTCACAACGCTTCCCGATCTTTTATCCAACTGTGGACGGTCCTCGCGAGACTTCGTCGGATTTCTCAAGTCGTTCGACAGAATTAGGCCTGTCCTCGTGTTTGAAGGTGCATTGACGCTCCTGGCGTCGATCGAACGGGAGAGAACACTAGACGTGTTCTCTCGTTCTGCCCACGAGAGTTCGTCGCGATCACATCGGTCTTCTATGACGTGGCGTGAAGCCGCCTTGGCGGGATCTCGAGCGACTTTAATGAAGTCGTTTTGTCGCGTTAGCAGGCTCGAGCGAGCGGGAAACGGCTGTTTGCCGTCGGCGGCAGCGTTCGCGTTTTCTCGTCTTCGTCGGCTGCCGCAGGACTCCGACTCCCTTGGCTTTGGTCCCTGACAGTGGCTGTCCTCGATCACGTCGACATCCTGCTCACCACGGCCGACAGGTCGTATACATTTGACAGCGCGCCTCCTCTTGCAGCCTGGCGTGCACGGCGCGCAGCCTTGCCAGTCGCCGATGATCCACCTGGAATCGCGCTATCGGCGATAAGCTGCGCGGCTTTAATTAGTCGGCGCCAAGCCGACGGTGATTATCGCGCAGTGTCATGTCCATTCGTTAGTTACTCAGGATAACAGGTGACGACTCTGTGTAACACGCTGGCAAGACGAATAGGGTGGACGAGACACGAGAGCCGGCGACGATGCGGAAAGCAGCGAACGTTATTGTCGTCGTCAGAAATAAACGAGACGACGTGATTACTACGGCGCAACCATTTCGCATCCCGGCTATGATTGCAACGATTTTTTGAAATATCGATAAAAATATTGTCGTTGATCAAAAATATCGATAATGATAATTGATGAGTAATTTTTGAGAAATATCAATATTTATATCAATTTTGAAGAAATATTGTTTATATCGAAAATATTTGAGTCTTCATATCCCTATATCGTTCATCTCTTTTTTTTAATCCTCTACTGCCCAAATTAATTTTTTATATTTAAAAAATTTTTCATGTACGCAAGATGTTTAAAACTAAAGTACTCAACACATATAAGGTAAAATATTAATATTCTAATTTTTTATTTTCCCGAAGTAGGTTTGTGACTCTGAGACCACGTTGAACATGGTGGTCAAAGAAGGCAGTCATATTGTGACTTCACGTCATATCGGTTAAGACAAAAATAACATTGGAGATAAATAATGATGAAACTAGATTGTGACTTCAGAGTCACAGTGGGCAGTACAGGGTTAATGACGTCAGATGCGGGAAACGCATGTTAAAAATCTTTGCAAAATATGTTGAAATTCAAGGACATTTGTTGAAATTTAAAGATAAAGCGACGCTTGCAATCGATCGAGTAGATTTGTAAAATAGTCCGAATACTTCTCTTTCGTTCTAACAATCAATAATTTGCCGTAAATTTGCCGTGATATAAAATGTATATTTCTTGCATATCTCTTTGCATAATTCTGTCATGTTAATTTATGGTACATTATTGATTGTTAGAGCAAAAGGGTAGTATTCATACTATTTTATAGATCTGCTCAATCGACGGCAAGTGTTGATTTATGGATATATTCTTTAATTTTAATGTATTTTGTAAAAATTTTTAGCATGCGTTTCCTCGCTTTTGATGTCATTAAGAGATAGAGGATGCGGAGACATAAGAATCTTAAGGCTCTTATCTACTCTTGACTCTTGATGACGTCAGAAGCGAAGAAATGCATATCCAAAATTCCTGCAAAGTACATTGAAATGAAAAGATATATTTAAAAAATTATACTTGCAATCGATTAAATATATCTCTCCGAAGTACCGAAGTAAAAAATACTTCGAATACTTTCCTCTTGCTTTAACAATCAATAAGTAACTATAAAATTAACGTGACAATTGAGCAATCTTCCTTCTTGACCCACATTTCCTCATTATTTTGTCACGCTAATTTTACAGTTATTTATTGACTATCAGATCAAAAGGAAAGGGTTCAGAATATTTTACTAATGTGCTTAATCGATTGTGTTATTTTTTAGATATACCTTTTTATTTCAACATACTTGTAAAAATTTTGGGTATGTATTTCCTTGCTCTTTTGACGTCATAAATCAAGTTGGCCACGGCGAGTAGTTAGGAGCCTTAAAATGACGTAAAATTCTAGTTTGTATAATTTCTATTGCCTTGTTCGTATTGCTTGCATTTTTGCACTCAATTCCCTCGCTTTTGCTTCTTCGGGTTGATTAACTAAGATTTTAACCGGTCCAACACTAGTTACTTCTGCTTGCGATCAAATTTACCATCAGTTTTATCTTTTTTTAGAGTGCTTAAATCTGAAATAATATCTAAAGAATATGAATAGTAATAAATATGATATAGTAATGAAGTAAAATTGGTTTTTTAGTCTAAATTTATGCCAATTCACGTGCCAAAGTAATGCTAAATTTCGCCTATTAAATCTTAATCTTAATCTGAGTTAAAATCTTTGTCAGAAAAGAATTAAAACTTAGATGAAAGTTTAATCGATGATTGGTGAAATCGGGTATAAGCGGGACAAGTTGCAAATCATAAAATAAATCCGCTGAAACGGATTCGATGTAACAATATATTGGAAAGAAAATATTACCGATAAATTATCGATATCGATCCACGATATATCGATATCTCGAATTATCGTTGCATGCCTAGTCCGAGCTTCCCACAACGTGCGGAAAAACGTTAATAATTGCAACTATATATTTTTACGCGCGATCTAACCAGTGGTCGTACAAGTGGGCCAAATGTAGAAAAGCACGAAACGTCGTCCGGGTACTCACCGCGGCACGCAAGAAGCCTCGTTGCACGGTCTAACCTTCACGTCCGGTTTAGCGAGGTGGTCGCAGAAGCTGTCGTCCACCAGTCCGCCGATTTTCTCGATGCAACGGGGTTTCGATATCTGCTCGCCCGGGCCACAGCCGGCCGAGCACTTCTCCCAGTCGATAAAGTCCCAGGAGAACACGGGTTTACGAGCAGTACGTCGTTTCAGTCCTAACGAGTATTTCAACGTGACGTTCTCCTTTGGTAAGACCTGTCAGATTAACTGGCCGTCAGGGGAGCACGCTGAGGAGATAAAACTAAATTTTTCTTTAATGCAGCTTTCAAAGTAGCTTAATCTTAAACCACAAGATAAAAGAGAGAAAATGGTGGAAGTACGTATTGCGGCGAAGAGAACTTTGTCGTCGTCGTGCCCGAGGATAAAGAATTGATCGTCCGGTGGTCTCGCTGCGCGATGAGTCTACGTTGTGAATTTTTTATTTTACATTGCATATTTTTCATTTACATTGTTTTTCGTTTACATTGCATATTTTTCAAAGTTCGCGGGTGAGAAGCAGTGCATTAATCGATTAAAATCCGATCAAAACAATTGTTAGTCGATCAAAACAATAACAATCAAAATTAATTAATCGTCATATACATATACATATAAAATCAAGTAACTTAATCAGTTGATAAAATTAATTATCAAACTCTGATTTGATCGATATAATATTTTGTTCTTATAAAGCATAAATTTTGTTTATGCAAACAAACGAAACCAAACTAGTATTTAACGTTAAGAAATTCGCTAAAATAATTAAAAACTGAGCGGAAAAAATGAATCGCTGAGCGATCCATCATGCCATAAAGAGTTAAGAGGATTTCGTTAAACACAAGTGTCTATTTTTTCGAACGTGTTCGACATTGGAGAAAAGCACGCGTCCTTTGAAAGTTACAGCTGCCGATTATTATTAGCGACACCGTCGATTATAATGTTCCCGGTTCGAGTATTGGAAGTGCACGTAACTTTCTTCTCGCGCACGTTCTCACCCATAGCAGATGTCCGAGTTCAAAAACCCTGCTCGAGTTTCGAGATACGAGTTATCGATTGACCAAGAGGCGCGACTAATTAGCGGAATGCATTCGTTAAGTTTACCAATATAACCAAGTCCTCGGTGACAGGTCCGGGTATGTTCAAAGCTTCCTGCCTCGGTCTTATCGTTCCTAGCCACGCCTTGGAGCCCGGCACGTCGAACATTCCTAGACGGTTACTGAAATAATTACGCCGCGGTGTTAATCACCGAGTGAGACCGGTGGTTGCGGTTGGCGCGACGTGTGTCGCGAGACAAACAGCTCCGGCAAAACAGACGAAGGAGAGACGAGTTCAAGAAAGGCGCCAGGTTTAAATGTCACCCCGACATGTTCGTTGGCTCGAACGATGAAAACTACAGTTCCTCCAGTCAGAGTTAGGAGACAGCATGATGATTCATGATTGGCTCCCATCCTGTTCGCCGTTTTCAAGAGTGACGTGGGTGGGAGTGAGAGAAAAACTCTAAGTAAAATTGAAAGAGAGAAGCTCCAAGACTGAAATTTGAGACACGCTTCTCTTTCACTCGCTCACTCACTTCCACCCTACAAATTGTGGACGGTGTCTCTGACTTGAAGAACTTTAGTGAAAACAATCAGCATCAGTTTCTTTTCTAGTTGCTCTTTTGCTCTTTCTTCTCTCTCGTTTCTCTCATTTGCACGCGACAGAGAGGAAACGAAGGTAGAACTTATATTTACCCGTCGATCAGCACGGTCTTCGTGTTCTTGGTGCGCACGACGATTCTGGATTTGGTCGGTTCCGCCACTTCGACACGGATATTCCTGGAGCCCGTCGGCACGTCCGTTATTTTCTTGAGTCCTAAGCGCGAAAATTCGCTCAGGAGATTACTATGAGGAGGCGGTTCTCTCTCTCTCTCTCTCTCTCTCTCTCTCTCTCTCTCTCTCTCTCTCTCTCTC